GTCTCAAGTAACTTGTTATCATATGTGTCCAAGTAGCAAAGTTTGGAAAAAATGTCTTCATTCTGGTTTTTTTTTTTTTTTTGATATGAAGCTTTAGTGCAGTATAAGTGCTTTACAACGTGTTCACTTCTGCTGTTCAAAAAGTGGACTGGCGGTATGTATACATATATCCTCTCGCTTTAAGCCTTTCTTCAGACCCTCCCTCTGCCACGCCATCCATCTAGGTCCCCACAGAGCACAGAACTGACCTCCCTCTGCTAAACAGCAGGTTTCTACTAGCTCTCTGTTTACACACGGTTGTCTATATTCATCACAGCTATTTTCTTGATTTACTCCAACCTCCCCTTCCCCCAACCTGTGTCCACAAATCCATTCTCTATGCCTGCTTCTCTATTCCTCCCCTACAAACAGATTTACCAGTACCATTCTTTTAGGTTCCGTGTATATTTGTTATAAGATACAATGTTAAAAATGGAGGATATTCAAGATTCTGCCCAGTCACTGCTTTTCTCATTAACTTTTTTTATTTTCTTCATTGAGTAAGAGCAAAAGGAATGGCACTTCAGCTAAGGTGATGAAACTGGGTATTGCCAGCACCTATGGGGATATGTCATGCGAGGATCATCTACGGACAAAAAGTTGGATGAACTGGTGTAATGGAAAGAACACCAGACTGGAGTCAACAGGCCAGGGATCTTGGCTCTGTTATTTAATAGCTGAATGACAATAAGCAGATTCTCTCTAACTGTGATGACCTCTCTTTGCTGGTAGGCAGGAAAAAAAAAGGACTGGAACTAGACCAAGCTGGAACACCTTGATCCCCAAGGTCTGCTTCCTCTCTTAAAATCATGATGTTCTGATATATAAAACCCCCACTCAGAAAGCTGTGAGCAAAGGCAGATATCACCCCACATGACAAAGTAAGGTCGCAGCATTAAATAAATTAAGAATTGAGTTTCTTTCTTTTCTGGGCTTCCCTGGTAGCTCAGTTGGTAAAGAATCTGCCTGCAAAACAGGAGACCCCAGTTGGATTCCTGAGTCAGGAGGATCTTCTGGAGAAGGGATAGACTATACACTCCAGTATTCTTGGGCTTCCCTGGTGGCTTAGATGATAAAGAATCTGCCTTCAATGCATAAGGCATGGGTTCAATCCCTGGGTTGGGAAGATCCCCTGGAGAAGGGAATAGCTACCCACTCCAGTATTCTAACCTGGAGAATTCCATGGACAGAGGAGCCTGGCAGACTGTAGTCAATGGGGTCACAAAGAGTCAGACACAACTGAGCAACTTTCACTTCCTTTTTCTACCAACTGTTGCTTTGATTAAGCGTCTAATATATGCCGAGTTTTCTGCACAGATTTATATGCTTTGTGCTGTGCTCAGTAGTCGTGTCAGTAATATTTAATACAACTTATGTGGTAGATAACATAATCTCAAAAGAGAAAAAAAAGAAAAAGGGAGCTCAGAGAGAATTTTAGTACTCACTCAGGCTCAAACAGCCAGAAAACAGTAAAAAGCCCGTAGCTCATTAGTTGGAATAAAGTGTATTTAAACTTGGACTAAACTCCATGTTACGGACTGAATTGGGTCCATGACCGTAAAAGTTGATATGCTGAAGCCCTAATTCCCAATGTGACTGTATTTGAATATAGGGCCTTTGTAGATGTAATTAAGGTTAAGTAAGATCATAAGGGGTCTTTCCTGGTAGCTGAGTGGTAAAGCATTGCCTGAAATGCAGGAGACCCTGGTTTGATCCCTGGGTCAGGAAGATCCTTTGGAGGAGGGCATGGCAACCCTCTCTAGTATTCTTGCCCAGAGAATCCCATGGAGAGAGGAGCCTGGCAGGCTATAGTCCATAGGGTCGACATAGAGTTGGACCTGACTGAAGCTAGTAAGCAGCAGCAGCGTCAAAGTCATAAGGGTGGGGCCCTGATCCTTTAGGATCAGTGTCCTTATAAGAAGAAACATACACTTTCTCTCCCTCTACCAGGTAAGGACACATGCATGAAGAAGGCCATTTGCAAGGCAAGAAGGCAGCTCTCATCAAAACCCAACATGCTGGTAGCCTAATCTCAAACTTTCAGCCTCCAAAACTATGAGAAAATAAATTTTGATGAGATGGTTGGATGGCATCACTGACTCAATGGACATGGGTTTAGGTGGACTCCGGGAGTTGGTGATGGACAGGGAGGCCTGGCGTGCTGCGGTTCATGGGGTCACAAAGAGTCAGACACGACTGAGCAACTGAACTGAACGGAAGAAGACTAACACTGTATACACTGAAATTTTTCTTTGCCATTTTAATTAAGCCATGCATAGTCAATGTATTAAAAAATGTCTGCAGAATAAGTAGAGGAATACCTGAGGAGTTGGTGAGCTGATATTTTATATTAGATGGCTGTTATTGATGCTTCTTGGAATTGTGCTGGCATAGCCTGCATGGCCTTACCCCAAAACCTTTGCTACCATCTGCATAATTAACATTAACTTGGGACTTCCTTGGTGGTCCAGTGGTAAAGAATTCACTTTTCAGGGGAGGGGACAGGACAGGGGTTTCATCCCTGGTTAGGAAATTATGATCCCACATACCCTGGGGCAACTATGTCTGAGCACTGCAGCCAGAGAAACCTACACTGCTCAAAGACTTAACACAGCCAAAAATAAAATAATAATAATACTAATTAACATGAACTAATAAGCATGCCACTGGGTAACAAATGCTTGAACTGTCACCCTCCAGGACTACCACGATTCATGCTATTAATATTCATTCTGCTATTGATTCTATTTCATGTCCACCACCAGCATCTCCACATTGAGTCAATTTTTACAAATGCTTTAACAATCCATCTCCAATTAAAATTCTCCACACTACCCCCATGATATAAGTATTATATCCACTTAGATGGGAAGTTGAGAGTGCTGCCAAAAGTTACTAATCAGTGGGAAATTCAAAACAATACGTCAGGTCCCTATTCAGTGTTCCTGACCTATACCCTCTAAACGTGCCCATATAGTCACCTTTCTTACTAAGCACTTTCACATCTACTATTTTATCATGTTTAAATGTATTTTCCAGATGCCTAATACATCTTAGGTGGCAAGAATTATTTCCAGTTCATGCCAGGGAATTTCAAACATTCTCCACCTAACACCCCCCAGAAATCCATGCTCGGTCAGACTAAATTCAGCCCTGAGAGTGTCACTGATTAATTTCATTAACTGCTATCCAGATAGCTCTTGGAGTTACAATGGTTGTTGAACAATTTTAGGAAAATTCATTAGATTGATTAGTTCAATTAACTCAGAAACCAACATATTAAAACAAGCAGGAAACCCCTGCTGTGTCCAAGAAATAAATAATAGACACACCCCAGACATTGACTGCATGAGGGACCCATGGAAATTTACCCATGAAGTAAAAATAGTATGAAAGTACAGGGTTTATCTCCTTCTCTTTCCCTTGCATTTCATTTAGTTTCAACTGAATGGTGTAACTGCTAAAACTACAGATTTCTACTATGACTAGAACCCCAGATCCACTGTGACTTTTATATTGCTGCTAAAACTTACATAATGAAGACAACCCTGGCCATTTTATTTGTGGTGGAGGATGGGTGGATTGTTCTTGTAGCCATCACAATCCCTCATGTCCTCAGGGCTAAAATACCCACAATGCTTTCCAAAGTTAGCCAGCCAAAAAGACCAACACACCAACAGAACACTGATGTCCCTTATTCTCTCCCTGACTTTTCCTATTTTCTGTGGATCAGCATTTACCTCGGAGGTGCAAAGTAGCACCTCCCAGGATTTTACTTTTTGTCCCGCTGGGTTTCTTTTCCAGAAGGAAGACAAGGGTTTTATGATACCAGATGGATCAATGAATTAGAACAGACCACCTCTCTTCTAAAATGAGACCCATAAGGAGACGATGGTAGACAACGGAGCAGGGAAACCCAAAATGAACGTGAACCTTTGAGAAAAGGAGCCAGCAAATTCCCAGAAACTAGAACAAAGATAATATCTTTCTGGGAATATCCTCAGTTATGAAATAAAAAGTGAAAGTGAAAACAAACTGCATCATCAACATGCCTGTCAACGTTCTGCCCTAAGTTGTTCTTGGTTACAAGTCGTTCAAGTCTCATGGGAAGACCTCAAGTTCTTTAGAAGCGGGAGGATGTGGGGATAGACAACAAGATGCCAAAGTCAATCTTTTTAAAAACGCTGATTACAGGCAGACAGCAGTCCTCACAAGCATCTGAGGAAATCCAGGGATCATTTTCAGTTCTGGGGAAGGAAGTCATTAGGAGGTTAATCAATTTTCCTGTTAGCTCATTAATAACAGTATCTGGTTGCATATAATCTGTAAATTATGGAATATCAAAATTTAGGAGTGGTGTGGTTGGAAAGACTGGAGGAGCATAAGGTTTAGAAAATCTATTTTATTATACCACATGGAATTAATATGCCAAATAATGTCTTCCATTTCCTGCTTACACATGCAGAAACATTGATAAAATGATTAATGATAGCTAGAATTTATGAATAATTCCTCTGTTCTAAGCACTTTGTTGCATGCTTACATGGACCATCTCATATAGTATAGTCACTGTGGAGCATATTTAATATTAATATATATCCCCATTTTGATTAACTTTTAAAGTTCTTCATTTTTAAAATAAATGGAAGTTAAATATTTTAAAATGATTAATAAAATAATCAGTGTACTATATTCTAAATGTCTAGATCCAGGTCCTAAATAAATCTTAAGTGAATGATAAAAACAAAAAGCTTTATTTTATAGCCAAGGAAATGAAGGGCTAGCAAGAATAACTTTTGTAAGAAATAAATATTTTTTGTTGTTGTTGTTATTGTTTTTCAGTCATTAAGTCATATACAACTCTTTTGTGACATCATAGACTATAGCCCCCCAGGCCCATCTGTCCATGAGATTTTCCAGGCAAGAATACTGGAGTGAGTTGCCATTTCCTTCTCCAGGTGATCTTCCCAACCCAGGGATCAAACCCTGGTCTCCTGAATTTTCAGGTAAATTCTTTACCACTGAGCCACTAGGGAAGCCCCTAGAAATAGTAAGTACAGATAGTAAATAGCAAAACTAGAACATAAAAATATTATTTTATATATTTTTCATATATCAATAATTGGAGAGAGAGAATATGATGGAAAGAACATCGATTTTACGGTTAAAAATGATCTGGATTGAGTATTGGTTCTATTATGTACTAGTGTGTGTTAAGATATATTTTACATCTCCTTAATTTTCTTATTTTCAAAATACAAACAATTTTAGATACTTTGCAAGTTTGGTACACAAATTAAATGATATAATGCATGGACAGTGAGTAGTATATATCTATAAGGAAATAATATTAGAGTTTCTTCATTATTTTGTCCATATAATAAATTTACTGTCACTCAAAAATAACAGACAGCATTACTATATTTACAGATCCTGGCACATGATGGGCACTCAAATAATATTAACGTCTTTTCTTATTCTTTCTCATCTCTCTTTATGCAACGACTACACATTCCTGACATAACTATTGAGCCAAGCAGATAAAATAAGAAAACAAATTTAAAAAGCAGCAATTTTAAAATACTGAAGCTTAACTGAATAAAAATATGACCCTGAATATACATTTTAAATGGTTTCCCAGGTGACTCAGTGGTAAACATTCCACCTGCCAATGCAAGGAATGCAAGAGACCTGGGTTCAGTCCCTGGGTGAAGAAGATCCCCTGGGGTAAGAAATGGTAACCCACTCTCGTATTCTTGCTTGGAAAATTCCATGGACAGAGAAGCCTGGTGGGTCTCAGAGTTGAATGTGACTGACTGACTGACTGACTGACTGATGGACACTATTTTTAATTAAACTTTGGATTTCCCTTACAAAGCAATTAGGATCCTTTTTAAAATAAACTCATAGGTAAAGCCAAAATCTAAGATAAAATTTTGCTGTATGGCAGCTAAATGCCAAGAAGGTTGAAAATGTGACATATTACAGTGAGATGAAATTCAAGGCAAATTTCCCTACCATCCTGTACAGTTTTATGTGATAAACCCTCTAAATTCTAAAATGTTCTGCACTCAGATCTCCTTCTGTGCCACAACCTATAACTCTCATTAATTTTACAGAATTGTCTGCCTATGAAAACTGGCAAGTTTTCTTCCACAACACGTTTCCATTAGATTTAAATTTTAAAGATAAACTCAGTCAATCCCAAGGGGGAAAGCAAATTTGCTGGGGTGAGGAGAGGCCTAAAGAGGGTTGTGGTCATCAGTATTGCTCAGCATGGAGGGGAAATGCATGTCCCAGAGTTACTTGGAGAATCGCTGAACATTTAAAATTCTAGACTCAATTATGAAATAAAACAGTGACCTGATAAAATATTTTAGCTGGCCTACAGGTCCACAAAGGACTTTGGAGTACCCAAGAGGCTTTTGTGAGTTTTGAATCTTAAATCTTCAGACTAAGAATTTATACATTTTCATCCATGCGTGCCTGCGTGCTAAGTCACTTCAGTGGTGCCCAACTCTCTGCGACCCTATGGACCGTAGCCCACCAGGATCCTCTGTCCATGGGATTCTCCAGGCAAGAGTACTGCAGTGGGTTGCACCTCCTTCAGGGGATATTCCCAACCCAGGGGTCAAACCTGCATGTCTTATGTCTCCTGCATTGGCAGGTGGGTTCTTTACCACTAACTTCACCTGGGAAGTCCCACATATTCACACACATGTAATTAAACCTAGTCTAGAGTTCCTGATACCTTATCACATCTCCCACTTTCTGTCCACACACTCACTCTCTTGCATCTACAGTGGTCTGCATTGTCATTCCCCTTTCAAGACACATAGCAACCACTTATAGGTCTCAGCAGTTCCCACTCGCTATGCCCAGGAAAATTTTCTTCTAAATATCTGCATGACATATTCTTTCACCCCTTTCTTTTCCACCAAATGTCTCTTCACGATGTCCTTTCTGACCACTCTACTTATAATTTCCATTACTCCTCTAAACCCTGTCCACCTCTTCATATAGGCTCTGAATCCTTAAACTACCTAGACCTTTGCTCTCCAATATGGTTGCTACTATCCTAGGTATTTAAGTTTATATTTGAATGAGCTAAAGTGAAATAATATTTATAGTTTACCCTTCAGTCAAACTAGGCTTCTTTCAAGGGTTTAATAGCCACTCGTGGCCAATGACTATCATACTGGACAGCAAAGCTATAGAATATCTGATAATGAAGAAATTTCTATAAGACAATGTTGCTCTAAACATATATATACACTTTATAAAGATTTCTTTCATACTCCCATCTACCAACCTACCCATAAACATCCTAAATTGTAAGCTCTGAAAAAGTCAGTACTATTGTCTGTTTTGTTGACTGCATTATTCTCAATTCCTAGAATAGTACTTGGTCCAGAGCAGATATTCAAATAATATTTGTTGAGTGAATAAATGGATTAAATCATAACCACTCATTGTGGTCCGTCACTCAGTCATGTCTGACTCTTTGCTGCCCCATAGACTGTAGCCTGTCAGGCTCTTCTGTCCGTAGAATTTTTCAGGCAAGAATACTGGAGTAGGTTGCCACCACTTACTCCAGGGGATCTTCCTGATCCAGGGATTGAACCCACATCTCTTGTGTCTCCTACATTGGCAGGCAGATTCTCTATCACTAGTGCCACCTGGAAGCCCAATCATTCATTCAGTTCAGTTCAGTTCAGTTCAGTAGCTCAGTCATGTCCAACTCTTTGCAACCTCATGAACTGCAGCATGCCAGGCCTCCCTGTCCATCACCAACTCCCAGAGTCTACCCAAACCCATGTCCATCGAGTCGGTGATGCCATCCAACCATCTCATCCTCTGTCGTCCCCTTCTCCTCCTGCCCTCAATCTTTCCCAGCATCAGGGTCTTTTCCAATGAGTCAGCTCTTCGCATCAGGTGGCCAAAGTATTGGAGTTTCAGCTTCAGCATCAGTCCTTCCAATGAACACCCAGGACTGATCTCCTTTAGGATGGACTGGTTGGATCTCCTTGCAGTCCAAGGGACTCTCAAGAGTCTTCTCCAACACCACAGTTCAAAAGCATCAATTCTTTGGTGCTCAGCTTTCTTTATAGTCCAACTCTCACATCCATACATGACCACTGGAAAAACCATAGCCTTGACTAGATGGACCTTTTATTCCCCTTAAAAAAGTCAGATACTATAGAGTAATTGCATCACCCCTCCTTGGAGGGAATTTTAGCATGTCAAATTTCTCTTCGCCACATTTCACCAGGACCACTTTATACACTGTTTGTAATTGTCCAAATACCACTGAATGTTAAATCTTTTAAGACTATGGTTTCCTGTAATCACTTGTCATTTGTGCTAGAGTGAGAATCACTGAAATGTGTCTAGATTTATGGCAGAAAAGTCTGTCAACTCCTAAGCCTGCCAAAGACTGTTAACCATCATAACAATTTTAGAAATTGAGCATTTCATTTGAATAGATTTATCCTATCCATACCACACCATGGAATATACATGTGGATTACTGATGGATAGAGACCATTAGTCAATCTATTTCATTTCATATTTTAAGTACACATTTGCCCTGTAAAATTCATTTTTCATTCCTATTTACACTAATTAGAATGAAAGCCTAAGTGTAAGTGATCATGCTCTTCCTTGGGTGACCTTGCAAAGACCAAAAAGGACTCCTGAAACTCTAATTCATTACTGTCAGTACTGTACATGATTATTTGACATGTATTAAAAATCCTTATCACTAGTCAAAGCAACATCTTTTAAGTTGGCTCTAAACTTAAAAAGCTCTAGATCTGTAGATGTAATTTTTTTTTAATTTTGGACAACTGATTTTGTCATATTTTCTTTACTCTAAACAAACCTTAGCTCAGATGGTAAAGAGTCCACCTGCAATGCCCGAGGCCAGAGTTCAGTTCCTGGGTTGGGAAGACCCCTTGCAGAAGGAAATGGAAACCCACTCCAGTCTTCTTGCCTGGAGAATTCCATGTACAGAGGAGCCTGGAGGGCTACAGTCCATGGGGTCTCAAAAAGTCAGAAACAACTGTGCGACAAACACTTCACTTCAAACAAAATGGAACTTGACAGAATATTAAAAAGCACACAAAACATTTAAATAAAAATACTTAAAAGAAAATTCACACATAATCTTACAATCTGAATATAATATTTGTTAATATTTTGGCATATTTCTCTGTTGTTTGCTGTCTTCTCCCATCCCTGTTTTTTAAATGCATACTTAATTCTACATATCTCTAATTGACTTTCAGCTTTCCTCTCTTAACACTATAATAGTCCTTGGCATTCATGTGTTCCACTGTTGTTACTTTATTTCAAATTGCCCTGACCAGTAATGATTTGTATTTTCTAAGATACAAATTTGAATCATGCAGGGAATGTGAATAATTTAAGCTGATGAATGAGTCTATTAGATTGCCTATAATTTGAAGCTCGATGTGGCTCTATTGCTCTGTCCTCATTGCTGGATGTGTAATGACTTGCATTCACGACGCAGTTGTTATTGGGAGGTGGAATACAGTGAAGAGAGCCAGTCACATTTGGGTTCAGATACAACTTCCATCCTTCCACTGCATCTGTGGATATTCACTTAACCAGGCATGATACTAGCTTCTGGATAGACAGACAGCTGATTCTGACTAGAGCTTTCTATGCTCCTGGTGTTGTGGTCATTCAATCCTCACAACCAGTATTATCTCTGCTATGTTGTTAATAATATAGACACAAAGTGAAAGCAAATAATTTACAAGTGATGAAGCAATGGTTCAAACTCCGGCATTCTGACTTGTTTCCCTCCTCTTAACCATCATTTCTTCATTGGAAGTGCTCGGTCTTGGAAAACTTATTTAACTGCATTGAGCCTCAGTGTATTTTTCTGTATTAAATAAGATGCAGGGCAACTCAAGATGCCTTCGCACATTTTGAATGATTAGTAAGTATTGGCTACTATTATTATCCTCTTAATAAAAATGTAGACATCTTCGAAGGGAACAGGAAGAATTCCCTGTAGATGTCAAGAATTTACTATATATAATCATCATTTTCCCATGGTATTAAAATCTCTTCATAAGCCTTATTTTAATGACTGCAGCATAGCCTACATATGGATGTATTATATGCATTTAAACATTTCCTTTACCCCTAGGCATTTATATTGTTTCTGAATTCAGTTTTTGCTTAAGCAATGACTAAAGCAAAGGATTTCAGAGACATAATCCTTGTACATTCAATAAATATTTATCCTTTATTTCCCATGTTAAAAACTCTGTGACAGAAACTTCAGGTACCACAGTGAGTGCTCACAGTGGGTTAAAATGAGTCCACAGCTAAGACGCCAGGCAGTGTTAAACAGGCCGAAAAGAGGGTGGGACCTCATTTACCAGGGAAGGTCAAGATCTGTTTTTAGGTGATGATAGAAGAGTTCCAACAGGTTAAGAAATGCAAATAGAGGATAAAGAGCACAAGGAGTATGAGAGGTGATAGGAAAGGCAGAGGGAGCACTTTGAATAAAGGTGGCCAAATATGAGCCCAGTTTCATGGGTAGAGAGTGGTCACCAGACTGATCGGAGCAAAGACAATAGAGAAAAAGGGTAGAAGATTTAAAAGTGAAGATACAAGAAATATTAGAAATTATTAGTTTAAAATGTTAGTTTAAAAGGTAAGAAATATGGACTAGGGAGTGATAGGAAAACGAATTCAGTATTTTGTTTGCAACAGGGAAATCATGTTAGATTTTCACTGAATATAGTGGGTACATGTTAAAATGGCACAAACAGCATCATATAATGTCGTTAGAAAAACCACTGAGGCCTGGACCAGCTAGGATGCAAAAGATGAAATAAACACATAAATTTAAAAAAAAAAAGTAGGAGAAAGAATACCTGCATTTACCTAGGCATAGGGCAGCGGACAGTGAGTGCCAATCTGACCCAGGGAGTCAGAGAAAACAAACACAAAATATCAGGCCAGTTGAATGGCTCCTTTCAATCTCATAATCTTCTCTTTCATTGTTAAATAAGGAGAATCCAGGGATATCAGACAAGATAAAAAGCCTCATAAGTATTTAATTGTTCAGTCATGTCTGACTCTTTACAACCCTATGGAGCCCACCAGACTGCTTGGTCCATGGGATTTTCCAGGCAGGAACACTGGAGTAGATTGCCATTTCCTTTTCCAGGGAATCTTCCTGACCCCAAGATTCAACCCGTGTCCCCTGCATCTCTTGTATTGGCAGGCAGATTCTTTACCACTGAGACACCTGGGAAATCCAAAGAGCCCCCCACTCCCACTTAATAGACATCTGGGTAATGACTTCTGCCATTTATTTTTAGACTTCTTTAAGAAGGAACTAATCAAGACTGGGTTCAGCGTGTCCAGAGTGATGCATCTGAAAGGTGGATTTCTCATTTGCATTATTGGACAATCATTAGAGCACACACTATTCCAAAATGTCACCCAAGAGAACAGACAAGATACCAATAAGAGGGGTATCTGCAGAATGAAATGTGCCAACCACAGTTTTATCTGCAGTGCCTTTAGGGAAATTAATTCTTTGCTTCCTTTCCAAGACCTTCCATTCATGTATCCCTTTGCAAAACTAATTATTTTTAAATGACTGCATGTTTTCCATCCAACTGTAGGCGTCTTTAGTTTCCCCAACTTATTCTACAATTTTTTAGTTTCTACCTGAAATTGATTTTTGGAAAGATTTTCTAAGTTTTTTACTTACTTAGATTAAATTCATTATAGCAATACACTGAGACATGCAGTTTGTAAGACTTAAAAGTTGTTTTGAATGTGTGTGTTTGTGTATGCCTTTAACACAGAGAGAACATTTTGGAGATCAGAGATATATTTTATCCAATTTAGCTTTATATCCCTCAAGTGATTCTGCTTCCAATATTTCCCATGAGACGACTTTCAAAATCCAATAGCTTTTTATTCTATGAAGGCTGCCAAATACTCAATAGCCTCGGCATTTATTAAAATCTTTATTGCACAATGTTGATCTGGGTTATATATAATTCCAGTTTCATTTAGCACCTGTATCTTTCAACATATGTGTATTAATCCCCTCCTCATAACTTGGATTTATTTAATAACCACTCATCTCTTAATGTCTTGGTCTGCCAAATCCTATTCTTTCATTATTTGCCTGTTTTTTCAGCTTTCTGCAACTTGCACTTTTTAAAACTTGTAGTGTCCATGATAAATGCAATGTGATAACCACAATTTATAAAGACAAGACAACATAACCCAAAGATCATGACCTTTGACTTAGATAAATCTGATTTTTTTTGTACAATACTTTTATTCATTTGCTAAATGCATATTAGAAAATAACCTACTGGTTCCTATAAACCTGTATTTATTAATTTGTCTATAAAATTAAAAAAAATAAGTTTTACCTACAGGGTTTTTTTTGGGATTAAACAAGTTAATGTATGGAAAATTCTTAGCCTGCATGGAGTAAATATTCAATAAATTACTATAATTTCATCCCAAGGCACTGTCCTCATTTCCCATTGACAATTAGTCCTTCTTTTTCTAAGACTTGTCTCAACTTTAGCGCTTAGAGTCTGCTTTGTTCTTTGTTATGCTCTCTTAGTAGTTATTTGAAGGCATAATAGTTTATGCTCCATGAGTACTGGAGTGACTGACAAAAATGGCATGGAGAAGAAGCAAAGATCTCACACTCTTCCTTCAATCTTCCCTTAGCCAATCTCTTCTCCCAAGTTTTAGTTTAAGCACTATATTTTTGAGAAATGATTCCACCTCAAATGTAGTTAGGACAAATTAACAGAATAATTAGCACTGCATTCTATCCACCACACTAAAATACAGTTCTCTCTCCAGGTCCTGTATCCCCAAAAGATGGAGTTACTTCATATGAAGAACATGTTTCAATCCATTTGTCTCTTCACCTCTTAGGAACAATGTGACATGAAATAGGCACTGAATTAATAAATTATTTTGAATTGGAATCATAAATAACACAGTGAGACTCATGATATCCATTCACATACTTGTACTGATCCTACTTCTAGAGCTTTGTAATATTGAAATATCCTCCAGATGTTATCTTGCTTATCTCCCATCATCTGGTCAGGCAGAAACCCATCCAGACAATCTCAGAAAGATGGTGGTTGATCCTATCCTCTTAAAATAAGATGGAATCACCACAGTAACCTAAAAGAATCTGTTGTATAGACCATGATTATTAACAGGACGTAAAGCACTTGTAATATAGAGAAATACCAACAAAATCTAATGTGAAAAGTGAAGTTGCTCAGTTGTGTCTGACTCTTTGTGACCCCATGGACTGTAGCCTACCAGGCTCCTCAGTCCAAGGAATTTTCCAGGCAAGAGTACTGGAGAGGGTTGCCATTTCCTTCTCCAGAATGTGAAAATGAATCCCTATAATTTGCCTGTGTGAAAAAACATGAATTAGCCAGCTGAAGCTGAAATAATGGCCTAAGTCTATTGCTCATATGAAACAGATATCATCTATTTGAATATCTAAAACTTTTGTCATGACTAGTCTAAACTTCTGTAGGGGTTGAGAGGAAGACAGAGATAAACATTGTTTCTTGATGACTTTAGGATTAAGTGATTAAGCTTACTCTGTTGTCAACATAACTTAAAAATCTTAAAAACAAAAGGAAGATGTCATATATATACCTAGAATATTACCAAGCCATAATCTGGGACAACCCAGAGGGGAGGAAGGTGGAGGGAGGTGGGAGGGGGAGTTTCAAGATGGTGGGATATATGTATGCCCATGGCTGATTCATGTCGACATATGGCAAAAACCACCACAATATTGTAAAGTAATTAGCCTCCAATTAAAATAATTTTTAAAAATAAATAAAAATTAAAAAAACAACAACAACTGTGAAGCAATGCCTTTTGCAGCAACATGAATGGACCTAAAGACTATCCTACTCAGTGACGTAAACCAGACAAAGGAAGACAGACACCATGATGCTCCTTGTATGAGGATCTAAAATTACAAATGATACAAACGAACTTACATACAAAACAGAAATAGACTCACTGACATAGAAAATAGATTTACTGTTACAAAGACTTCCCTGGTGGCTCAGGGTCAAGAATCCGCCTGTAATGCAGGAGTTGCAAGAGACTTGGGTTTGATACCTGGGTGGTAAAGATCCCCTGGAGGAGGAAATGGCAACCCACTCCAGTATTCTTGCTGAAAGAATCTCATGGGCAGAGGAACCATGAGGCTACACAGAGTCGACACAGAGGAAGCGACTAAGCACTGTGCAATTCAACTTTACCTGGATTAACTTATATAATTTCCCCCAAAATACATGATCTAGAAGCTATTCTTTCAGTTTTTAAAAAGGGTACCTTGAGGCTCAGAGAAATTCAGTGCTTTGCCAGAAATCATGTGGTTATTAAGAGAAATGTTGACTTGGATATTTAATTTCAAGTCACCTGACTCAGGATCCAGCACTCATTCCTTTATGACCCAGATGACCAGCCTATCTTACCAGCAAAAAAATTTAGGCTAGATCAATATTAGACCAATAAATTAACTCCTTCTTTTGTTCTGATATATACAGTAAAACTTTATGTATTTCCTGTGAGCAGTTTTCAGCTATGCCTCAAATCTACCACAACAATGCATTAAACTTCATTCGATTGTGAAAGGTGGTTGCCACCCTGGCAAATGATGTGGATTGTTGCCAGTAATATTTCCCTAGTACAGAGTTAGCTCCAAGCTTATATATTCCCCTATGCCCAATGGGATGGAAAGTCATTTACGATCATTCATGTAACAGTAATAATCCTGCTTATGCTTGAAAATAGTTTAAATCCAGTCACAAACCATTTCTTCTTAGTTCTTAGTCAGATTCCATAAAGTCTACATAGAACATTTATGGGAGTCAGTCTTGTATGTTGTACAGAACAATGGGTCTAAGAAATCTGGGTTCTAGTTTGATATCTGGTCCTAATAAGCTCTATGATCTTGGGAAAATTGATTTCTGAGCCCAGTTTTTAAATACATAATATGAAGTTTTCAGGTATATAATAGCCTAAATTCCCTTCCTCTTGGAATATAGCTTATTTCACACACACACACACAGGGCTTGCCTGGTGGCTCAGACAGTAGAGAATCTGCCGGCAATGTGGGAGACCCAGGTTCAACCCCTGGGTTGGGAAAATCCCCTGGAGAAGGAAATGGCAACCCACTCCAGTATTTTGCCTGGGAAATCCCTTGGACAGAGGAGCCTGGTGGGCTACAATCCATGAGGTCGCAAAAAGAGTCAGACATGACCTAGCAGCTAAACACAACAACAATCTCAGGTTCTGGAGGATCTTATTTGTTAATAGAGTCTCACATCCTCCCATGGACAAAGGGGCCTGGTGGGCTACAGTCCATGGGGTCGCAGAGAGTCAGACACAACTGAGGGACTAACACACACACACACATCCCCCATTCCTGAAAAGTGAGACCTTAAAACCTGTTTTTCTGTTATCGCCCATATGGTGCCATAACATGAAATTAACATTGGAACACAATGCACTGAGAAGCAACTCAAATAAAAAGTGTCCTTTCTGGAAAAAAAAAAAAAAAAAAAGGCTAAACAGAGGACACACAATGCAAATGAACTGAACGGGGAATCTGGGAGGGAGAACTATGTAATTTTTATGGTGGGGATCTCTGGCAGATGAAGTTGGTTTTAAAATTGAGTATAATTTAAATACACAGTAAATCAATGGTATCTCCTCCTCTCTCTCCTCCTAATGGATTAGCAAAGCCTATAAAACTCACCTTATATTTTTCTCTTCTAATCTACATAAGCAGGTGATCCTTTTTCAAGGTGATGATTATGATGATGACAGTTTTCAGCCTGCCTATATCTCTATTCTATCTTTCCCAAAATACTGCTTCTCTGTAAAGTTAAAATTAGGTCAATGAGTTTATCTCTAACACCACTCTCCTCCCAAATATTTATGTACATATCTGGTTCAGAAGCACACAGCAGGGGAAGGAGAGGGTAGCATGAATTGAGAAGGTAGCATTGACATGTACACACTATCATATGTGAAATAGCTAGCTAGTTGGAGGCTGCTATACAACACAAGGAGCCTAGCCTGGTGCTCTGTGCTGACCTAGAGAGGTGGGACGGAAGCACAGGGGTGTTCTAGAAGGGAGGGATATATACATAATTCTTGCTCATTCAAGTTGTATGGCAGAAACCAACACAGTACTGTAAAGCAATTATTCTCCAATTAAAAAAAAAAAGCCACAGAGCTGAAGCATGGGTTTGTTTGTTTTCTGGAAGGAGACAGGGGAATATAAAGGTATAAAGTCTTAGATTGATAGAGGGTTTGCAACTGCTCATTTGAATGCAGGATCATTTCCCTGCATTCTTGAGTCAATTATTTCTTGTTGAGAGCACAGGGTTACATAAACTGTAGAAACAACGGGTGCTAAAAAGAGAAGGAAAGAGTGTAAGAATACTAAGAGAAAAAAGGACCACAAAATATAAAAAATTTCTAACCATGGTTACTGAAAATCCAGAGGCTGGAAATAGAACATGAATTTTTAATTTCTAAGAAAATTTAAAGATATCATACAATAAGGAGGGGAAAAAAAAGCTATGCTCAAGTTAGACCTGCCACTTCAACGTAAAGAGCATGATGATTCATTTGGTACCCCATAGGTTTCCCTGGTGGTTCAGCGGTAAAGAATCTGTGGGTTCGATCCCTAGGAGGGGAAGATCCCTGGAGAAGGAAATGGCAACCCACTCCAGTATTCTTGCCCGGGAGATCCCATGGACAGAGAAACCTAGTGGGCTATAGACTATGGGGTCACAAAAGAGACATGCCTTAGCAACTAAACATCAATGACAATAATCCAGAGAGCAACCAGTATGATAGATTTATTAAGGTGCTGTTTTACAAAAGAGAAAACTGAGGCAGAGAGATGTGGTAGGCAAAAGAAGAGGAAGGAGGATGTGAACCCAAGCCTTTCTGACTCCAGAATTCCCACGCTGCAAACCAGAAGCTCTCCCTTTTTCCATTAACTCATATCTCCCAGCTCATCCTTCTCTTCTCTCCTTCAGCCATCTCTTCTAAATAAAGTCCTATTATCCCATCTCAACTCAGCAATATCAAAAAGGTTATGATATTTACTGGGCAATCTCCACGTGTGAAGCATTTCATTCTCCCATGGGGCAAATCTAATTGAATTTTGATGCCCATATTTGCCCATGTGTGTGTGGCTTCCAGACAAATTGGCAAAGCATAATAGACTATAGTTCGGACTTCATTCCAAGGAAACTACAACATGCATTGTGACTTGCAGCCTTTTTATGAGAGTCTTACTTCAAAGTGAAACAAAACCATCTCAGGGGAAGGGGAAAGAAAACAGTTAATAACTGTTTCCTTTACTTCCATACTGAAAGCTATGGTATAAAAACAAGTCTACATTAGTCTGGTTTATAGAAATCAGAATACATGCAACACAATAATTAACAGAAGTATGTTCCTAAAGTGCTTCTTCATGAATTATAAGTAACTCCTAACAATGATTCTTTGCTTGTGTGATGATGCTCACAAATCATCCTTTCAAATATATGACTCTTGTCTGCACTTGAGAGGTTTGCATTTGTGAAGTACAAGCTCTTCCTTTGGTCCAGTTTTTCCTTCTCCCATACTATAAATATGATAACACATTGATCAAGGAAGAAGTATGTTCCATTTTCCCCTTGGCATACTGGGAAGTGATCTGTAGGGTGACTGCATAGACCAATAAATATGTATTTAGCAGTGACACAACTGTTTGTTAACAATGCTGGGCCATCATACCAGGTCAGGACACACAGGTGAAAAAAGGATGTGAAGTATTAAGGCACACCAAAGTTTCAATTCTTTTAAAAATAGAAGGAAAATATAGTCACTCGAAAATTCAGGATATGACAATCCATTAACTTAAAAAATATTCAAAGCAAATTGAATCTTCTCTCTTTCTAC